AACAATAAAGCAAGGCAGGCACCACACTGCTCGGGGATGTGAGACATTTTAACGTTTCCTCTTGTGGGGTCCTATTGTGTCACCGTCAAATTCTCTAGTGGAGTTTGGATCTCAAATGTCCCCCACAGGCTCATGTTTTGAGCACTTTCTTAGCTGGCAGCACTATTTTGGAGCCCGTGGACAGTTGAGGTAGGACCCAGCTGGCAGATGGTCACGGCTGTGTGTGGGGTGTCCTCGGAGATATATAATCACTGCCGACTTCCTGTCTCTTTCTGACCTGCTGTGATGTGGAGAGTCTCTACGGTGTGCCACCACCTCTGTGAGCTGAGCCACCCCGCCATACCTTCCCCAAGGAGATGGACCCAAGCCTCTGAACAGAAACAAAAAAGGAAAACAAAACCAAAAAACTTTCCTCCTTCTGGTTGTTTCCATTAGGTGTTTGTGACAAGAAGGACAAAGTAGCTAATGCATACGTTTTGTGTTGCTACAACTGAAACTCTTCCGCGATTCCTGCCTTAGTAAGTAGAGGCAACCTCCTCTACTGGCTTGCTAATCAGCTAAGTAGCCTCTTTCTTCTCTACACTCATCTCTCATCAACTTTCCATTTCTCTCTCTCTCTCTCTCTCTCTCTCTCTCTCCCACTCCCCCCCCCCCCACTTTCTCTCTCTCTCTCTCTCTCTCTCTCTGGTGGTTTTAGTTCACCAACCAAAAGCCTTTCATTATCTGGTTAGAGGAGCGCCTGCTAGATACTTTGTTCCTCCCTTAACTGGACACATCTGCCCATCCATCCTGCACTCTGTATGACGTCACCTCTTCTCTTCTAGAAGTCACTGCCCATCCGTCCTTCTCTACTCTGTATGACGTCACCACCTCTAGAAGTCACAGCCCATCCCTTCTTCTGCACTCTGTATGACGTCACCGCCTCTAGAAGTCACTGCCCATCCCTCCTCCTGTACTCAGTGCAATCAGTGCAACTTTGCTTCCTCTGAAAACCTCTGCAGTTCACTTCCCAGAGTGAGTATTTGCCATATTTCTGAACTCTCAAGAAATTTGACTGTGAGTTCGAGGACAGCCTGGTCTACAGAGAGAGTTTCAGGACAGGCTCCAAAGCTACATAGAGAAACCCTATCTGAAAGAAAGAAAGAAAGAAAGAAAGAAAGAAAGAAAGAAAGAAAGAAAGAAAGAAAGAAAGAAA